TTCAATGTGATTGGGGTGGCGAGTGTTGCCCCCGCGACCCGGCAACGGATAAGCGGATGAAAATGGATGGATGGATGGACGTCATCATCAGTTCAACAGTCATTCACGTTGTTAGTTTTTTTCTACGAACCGTGTTCCGACAGCAAGACGAGAAAAGAACGGTTCAAATCTTCAACATCATGAAATTCAAGGACTAACAATAAAACTAAGACAAAGTCAAACAATTCCTACAGTCGTAGGAAAATCTAATCTCACGGATTCATGAGAAAAAAGAGATCCAGAGGTTTTGGAGAAGCATCTCTGGAACAGTGAAACTAATTATTTCTGAGGTTGAAGTCAGAATCAGAACGGAGCCCAGGGTTGGAGCGGCTTTAATTGAAAGAGAGAAGAAGTTCTGCTGCAATTGGGACAAAATTAGAACGTGGACAATAGACACTGAGCGACGCCCAGTTTCACCAAAAAAAAAAAAAAAGTCTCTGAATAGTGAGAGTGAGATGAGCTGCAGACTCGGAGCGCCGCTCCACTGTCTCTGAAACTTTTCCAGCTCTTATCAGTTTTTCCTAAATGAGTGTGAAGTCTAAACGCCCGACGTCTTTGAAGAGCTGGAAAAATCCAAATGGACTTTGATTCAAATTAAAACAATGAACAAACTGCCGTCAGACTTTTCACTTCATCTACAGTCGTTCTTTAAACTCCAGCGTTACGCTGCCGAGCCGTTAAATATGTGGGTGAGGAAGAACAAAAAACACAAGCCTGTGGAGAAACGGTGAAGAGAGAAGAGCTTTTTATAAAATCCTCAGTGGGGATTTAGTATTTAGTTTGACCAAATCAAGAGAAAAAAATTATTCTCTGTCCTTAAACTTCAATGATTTCTTTTCTAAATCAACAACAGTCAGTCAACAGTCGGGCAACAGTCAGACCATGAGCTGCAGCTTCTCAACCAAAGAATCACACACAGTCTCCAAACCCTGATGTCACGTCACCAGATCATCATCACAGCTCCCCCTATTGGCCCTCCTGTAGCTCTGCAGATGAGGCGACTGCGGGGATGGACGTCAGTGTCCCGTCTGTGGACCTCAGCTCAGCGTTATCCCAGAAATACTCTGGTCCAAACTTAGCCGACTCCCGGTGCCAGCCTCTACCTGTCAGCCAATCGTGGACTTCCTGTCAGAATGCAGCGGCTGAGGCGGGAAAATAACACACCCACCACCATGACCATCAGCGCTAACGCTGCTCAGACAGAACACCCCCACCACCATGACCATCAACGCTAACGCTGCTCCGACAGTGTGTGCCCCCCCCCACCCCCTCATTTCCTCCCCTCCACTAACATCATTGGCCTTATTAGAGAGCGTGATAGAAACAGGAAGTTGGTTCGCTGGTGTCGTCACGGCGATCTGCAGCTGGACCTGGGTCTGGGTCTGTGGTGGAGACGTTTGGGTTTTTTTCTGCAGGACTATTTACGTCGGCACTGACTCAAAAACAGTTTCTTTCTTTCCCTGAACAATTACTTCAGTTCAACATCAATAATTCAGATCTTTAGACACGACTGTTTGAACAACGTACGAGTCAAAAAGTGTTGGAGAAGCAGCACAAGACTGAAGCTCCGAGCAGTGTTTACGTCACGGCTTTCACCGCCAAGGAACGGCAAAAAAACGGTTCAGGACAAGGTGACAACAAGTCTGTTCCTAAATAAAACAGTTGATACCATATGACTGATGCCCTGGTACCAGTCCACAGACCAGAGGTTGAACCTCTCTCCACAGGACAGCAGACTCACTGTGTCAAACTCAAGGCTCGCGGCCCCAATGCTAGGAAAATAAAAGTCCCTAGTTTCCCCTCGACTCGTTTCTCCTTTGACGTCTTGTCCAAACCAGCGAGAGCTTCTTGGACGTGGCCTCGTGGTCCTGCAGGGGGAGCCACCACGTCCACTTCTTATACACAGTCCTGTCAAAGTTCAAATCCTCTCCGTTCCTGACGAAGCTCATTAGACTTCCAAACTGAATAAGATATAGGGGGCGCTCTGTGCCCTGGTGAAGACGCACATGATGGACAGGATAATAAAACGCAGGCGGAAAAAAGTGACATCATCTGGTTTTTAATCTATGGAAATGAGCAATTAATGTGTGGAAGGAAGTCGTATCCCTGACCTCTGACCTCGGGTCACTGTTTTCTGGGTCCATGACTGTTGACGGTCCCTGAATAATCCATGGTTTGTTACCAGAGATGTTTCTATCACAGCTGAAGGTTCATGCATCACAATACAATCAATATCACTGTGTGTGTGTGTGTGTGTGTGTGTGTGTGTGTGTGTGTGTGACCTCAGCAGCAGAGGCTCCTGTCGCTGTCGTCCGTCTAATTATGTTTGTGAATTAGAAGAATTCTAGAACAAATTAAATCCTCCGACCACTCACTGGTTCAGAGAGACTTTTTTTCTTTCTACATTTATTTCACTAATGAAAATCTATTTGTTAAATGTGTAAAAATACAGTGTAATTAAAAGGAGATCAAGGTTTTAGTTTTTAGAAAAGTGAAAATGTATGTTTTAAATAATGATCAAATGAAAGAACTGAATGTGAAAAAATGTTTCAAGGGGAAGTAAAAATGTATAAATTAAAAACATAATGTACACACACACACACACACACACACACACACACACGTCTGACTTCTTGTCTCACCTTCCACGTTGACACAGCTCACGTTCTGGACCACAGATCCTGGACCACAGGTTTGTCCACTGAGGACGCAGCCCCCCCCCTCCTGGACCTGCCACAGGAAGCAGGCGGGGTCCTCACAGGGGACGGACTCCACCAGGTGTGGACATGGTTCTGCCGACCCCTTGACCTCCCACAGCACCTCCCTCCTCCTCTGTCTGAAACCTGCACAGGAACAGAAGTCGACCATCAGGTGTCGCTGCAGTGATTCTAGTCCATGTCTGTATATATGTATATATCTGTAGAGTAGTGATCATAAACTGGTGGCCCGCGGGCCTGACCGCACCACTGAATCATCCAATCAGGGCCCTCTAACAAGTAGAGTTGGCGACCCCTGTGGTGGGGTCACTGAACTGACCAATAGGTGTTATCTGTGTCAGCTGACCTTTCCTCCCCTGTGGTTCTTCACAGTTGTCGTGGCGACAGCCACTCCACGACGACCACGGTGTGAGCAGGCACTGGTTCTGACAGGGGACGGAGCAGCGCTGCACAGCCAGGGGGGGCTCTAGAGCAGCACAGTGTCTGGAACTCACAGGCCTGGAGACTGAAGAGGACGATAAACAAGGGTTCAGTGATCAGTGTTCAATCTTCATGCAGGTAAAATCACCCCCCCCCCCCCCCCCCCCCCCACCTAAACAGGACAGGAGGGAAAGAATCAGGGGCAAACTGGAGAACATCCAGACGATGCCGACGGTGAGCTGAAGGAGAGTTGAACCACGGTGTGAACCACTTCCTGTCTGCCATGGTTTACACTCTGACACTAGTCTCTCTCACACAATAACAGCTGGTTTTTCCCCGGCAACAACGTGGGAATTTATTCAATCTAATATTCCATTTTGCATCTCGTTCACTATTGAAACACAAATTTACATTTAAATGAGAGGCTGAAAAAATAAAACCCTCTAAATGTCCATTGTGTATTTTGTCTCGGGACCAACAGTAATTTACATCCTGTTTGATCTGCTTTGAACCAATGAGACGTTAGTTTCAACACCCAGATAAGTGGCTGCTGCAGGTGTTTCCACCTCTACATCCAGATGTTACTGCACGTGCAGCTGTGTGGTCATTTGGAGTACTACAGCCCTCTCAATGATGTGGTGTTTTTTTACAGTAAGATTCAAACGGATCGCGGCGGCTAAGCTCATAAATCTGACAAAAATATTCTTTTTCTTTTGATATTAATGTTTGAAATTTGCTCAGAAATAGTTTCTTATTAAAAGTTTATGAGAACAATTCTTCTTAAAGAAGCTTCAGATGTCCACACTGAGTTAGCAGAAATTAGAAGTAGCCGTTAGCTGTTAGCTGTTAGCATGCGTCAGAACAGTTCAGGGACAGAAAAGTATTAAGACTGGACCTGAAGGAGTCGTTTTTTAACATCTGAATTTACTGTAACGTGCTGTTCAAAATGTGTGGTTTATATAAAAAGTCACTTTGTCTCATTCCTCCATTTGTTTTATTTTCCACTTGTGTTTTTTCTTCTTTTCTGTTTTCACTACAGCCTTTGTATTTCCTCTGCTGTGTTTTCATTTCAGCCTCACGTCTGTATTTCTGTCGTGGATGGAGACTTTTCTCCACCTGTGCTTCTGTTTCTGTAGAAACCACTGGTCTCTGTCTACATCTGAACCACTTCAAATGAAACCATTTAAATGATCTCTGCTGCAGAGAAACCAGCCCACTGTCGTGAAGCGACTCCTGTCACCCCCCCCCCCCCCCCCCCCCCCCCCCCTCCCCCACTCACACTCTCTCCTGACACGAGCTGTGGAGTCGTCAGGGACTTGAACACAGTACGTCCTCCTGGTCTGGATCCCAACTCCACACAGCGTACTGAAGTTAGCAGAGCGCCTTTCCTGTTGGCTCAGTAACGGGAGGATGTGGCATTCATCCCAGTCAGTGGTCCTCCACCCCCACCTGACACCACAGACACACACAGACACACACAGACACACACACAGACAGAGAGACAGAAGATTATGTTTGATAAACTGCCAACAACGTTGTTTTTTAGAAAAGGACATTTGATCAAAACCTTTTCACTTTTGTTCGTCTTTAATCGACTTTGTCAACGTTGAACATGAGCTGCAGCTCCTTCTTTGGCCTGCAGGAGGTGCTAGGGATGTATTAGGAAGACCTGATTTACATGCTGGTAAATGTACAAAAAAAAGAAGTTTGAAATTTAGATCTTAGTCAAAATAAACCCACTGATCGGTGAACGTGGCAGAGTTGGTCTGAAAACCACGTCGGTCACTGGATGTCGGACAGAGATCGAGTTGATGGTTTGAATTTCACTGCACATCAGTGTTTGGTTTGAACCAGAAAACGTGCAGTGGAGCAGAAAGTACTAACGCTGGAGGAGCTGAGGAGGACAACAGCCCGTGGTCGTCTATCAACCGCTTCATTTTCATAATGAGTTTTTCCTAATCATGTAAATCCTCCGCTCCAGGCTCTCCACGGAAAATGAAGAAAACGAGAGTAAATTTACCACCAGGGGAAATCGTTGTTACTTCTTCTAAGAAGACTTTCTTCAACACTGACCAAAGTCTTTTCAACGTCTTTTACTCTTCAGGTGAAAGTAGTTAAGGCGTCACATTAACCCCAGTCAATACTGATGAAAACAAACGGCTCCAGTTGATGTTAAATATGAATGAAGTACCTGGGGCAGTTTGGCAGCAAATCTCCAATGATGTTACAGGCTTCTTTTTCCTCCAGGGCAGGGCACCGTCTCCCCCCCCCCACAGGGATCTGGGTCATGATCCGTGAGCGGAGGCTGTAACCAGGAGACAGGTCAGTGGACTGACAGGTTTTAGAGCAGGGGCTCCACGCCGACCAGTCAGAGACGTGACAGTCTTTGGACATCACACAGGCCTGGTAGGTGAGGGGGGGGTCGTCCTTGACACACAGACTGTTGGTGTAAAAAAAACAACAACAACAACAACAACTTTTATTTCATGAAAAAATAAAAATAAAACATTACAGAACAAGAACCTGAAACATTTGGCCTGAATTCTAACGGGGGTCGACGACCTTTGAGGTCTGAAGCGTGACGTGAAGGACTCCAGAGCTGAAGGAAACCTTTTCATGGAGACGTTAGTTTACGCTTTACTGCACCGACGTAAACTGAAGCAGGATTAGCCGTATAATAATGGCTCCCGTTGTTTCATTAACAGGAGGGTGAGCTGCAGCCACAGCCTTCGCTCTCCAGTTAAAGTGTGTAATGAGGATGTAATCAGAAAAGTAGAATTAGGAAGAACTCAGGTGGGAAATCCTCCCTGGAAAAAAAAGAAAAAAAAAAGCTCAAATCCCTCTCCTGTTCCCAGAGGAACCTGCCTGGAATACAGGACTAACGTGTGAATGTCAAGTTCACAGGAAGAGAGGTCCAGGAGAAGCTCCTCAGACCTGGGCCTGACCCCGGGCCTGACCCCGGGCCTGACCCCAGACTCAGCCCACCACACGTCATCCTTTAACCTTATGTTTCACTTTAATCATTCATATTTTATTCTATATCTCAAGAAAATAAACTACTTCATTTTTCCGTGCTGAGCCTTTAACAGAATCAGTATCCAGGCTGTTCCTAACGACACTCCAGTCCAGACCCACTCCACACTTTCTAACTCTCCCAGAGAAACTACCTGTGCACAGTAGCGCCCCCTCATACAGACTCTGTTCTAGACTAAACGCCTTTTCCTTTTTCCAAGAAAAAAACAAATCCTCCAGACAACAAATTCTACCCGTTCTGCCTGTCATAGTGCTGCGCCCCCTAGAGGGGACTCGCCCCCCGCATTGAGAACCACTGAGCTGGGGAGTGTCTCTGTGAAGTGCTCACACACAAAGACCAGTTTTTGTGTGTGTGTGTAAAAGCTGCCACGTTCCAGCAGAAACAGAAAAACAAACCCTGTCAAATTCAAACCCTGAACAGCAGGGGGCAGCACTTGACATTTAGTGACTGGCCAATAGGACTGTGTATGACTGTGGAACAACGTCCCGCTCATCATCTAGTAGGAACTGAATGATCAACAGCCAACCCCAACAAATCCACTGATGACCTTTGACCTTACAAGTTCAATTGTGACTGGGTTGAAGAGTGATTGTGTGAAGTGAAGTGATTCTACGTCACAGACTGTTAATAAAACGCCTTCTTACCTCATCATGGCATTCTTGCCGTCACTCCTGGTGCAGCGGACCTGTCGTGTCTGGTACCCGACCTCCAGTTCCCAGGACATGTGGTACTTGTTGTGTGAGTGAGGACCATGATGGCGGTCCTGAGGCCTGGTCGTGTCGCCGGTCCTGCCGGTCCTGAGGGTCCTGATGGTCCTGACGGTCCTGATGGTCCTGATGGTCCTGACGGTCCTGATGGTCCTGATGGTCCTGATGGTCCTGACGGTCCTGACGGTCCTGACGGTCCTGAGGGTCCTGATGTTCCTGACGGTCCTGACGGCCCTGATGGTCCTGACGGCGAGAGGCCGACACGTGCTGTGTCACCGAGTTGTTCTCAGCGGCGCTGCTGCTGAAGTCCACCGTTGTCCTTCCACTGGACGGTGCGTCCTTGTCAGGGGGGAGTCGGCAGTCGCTCCAGGCCCCCACTCTCAGCGTGTACTGGTACTCGCCCCCTGCAGGCGGGCAGCTGACAGGATTAGAACAAGTCCTTGTCTCGGTCAAGCCGGGACAGCTGGCTCCTCCGTACATGGGCGTGGCCAGGACGTGTCGTGTTCGATGTTGAAGGCCAGCGCCGCAGGTTTTGCTGCAACTTGACCACGGAGTGAAATGCGAGAGCACGCAGTCGTGGGGACAGGGGACGAGGCACGCCTGCTCCACCGCCGGCCTTTGAGAGAAGAACTCACAGATCCTGGAGGTGACGGCCGTGCGGTTTAAAGCGCGGACACAGTGGACCTGCCGCCGCTGGACGCCGTGCTGCGCTGTGATGCATTCGGGCGTCCGCAGCTTCAGCTCGTTGGAGAAGAAAGGGACGAGGACGCAGCTGCTCCAGTTGGACACCTCCCACTCGAAGAGGTCCTGGTGCCAGTCACAGACCTTGAAGCAGGGCCGGCGACCCAGCGGCTTGTCGGTGCGTGGGCAGTGGGAGTGGTGGGTGGTCCAGCCCTCCAGGTGAACGCACCACACGCTTCTTGTCTGAACCCCATCAGAACCGCACACGTCTCCCACGCACTGACCCCACTGACCTGGGGAGAGGAAAGAGGGGAGTCGATCACAGCTTCACAGACCGACCTGAAGCACGAACATAATCACCTCAACGCAGGAAAGACCAAGGCCAGAATACAGAGAGGAGTGAGGAGCAGCTTCAGTTTGATCAAATCAAATCAAATCAAATCAAACAGAATTCATGTCCTTAGAGAATTTCAGGTAAAACTCAGGAATGTCTTCTGTTCAGTCTTCGTTCACTTCGTTACCACAGTGACAGTAACGACGGTGACGTCACCGAGATGAAACACATAGAGTGACTGTATCGTGATGTGATCGTTTTCTGTTTTCTTTCTTATTATAGGAGGCAATTATAGAAGTTTGAAAACAATTTGATCTATTTTACAGATGCATCGTAATAATAATGTGTTTCTGAGTAAGAATTTGTCAAAATATTTCTCCACAGAAAGACCTGAAGTCAGAGCGCCAACAGAACTGTTCACAGAAAGTTCCAGACTCTTCAAATGTTCCTTCAATGCACGTCTTTCATGAATTCAAATTGACCACGGCTTCTTTCAAAGAATCGCCGTGCACCGTGCACCGTGCACCGTGCACGTGTGTGGCGTTCAGGGAGCGTTTGAATGCTGGACCTTCTACAATCTGCAGCTTTACAAAGTTTAAAATACAATCAAGTGCAGTAAACAAAAAGGAAAAAGAAATCCTTCGAGTTTGATTCTTGAACTGGAGTCTGTTTCTGCAGCGGCCAATCAGAACAAAGGCTTCGTTCAAACGTTCACAACCAAACCACAAATATTCAAACAAAGGGTTTTTAATCCTTGAATTCAGTCTTCAACATCCTAACATCATGTTTAACGTGGGCAGAAATCCCAGATCAGACGATTGAAAAGATCAAATATAGATTCAACCTGAATTCATTATATTTAGGAACTCGGTCCCTTTGACTCTACACTTTCTGCAGTCATAAATCACCGGAGGAGAAAAATGAAATGACCTCACTGATGTGGTTAGCGTTGTCAATCAGTTTCCAGTTTCTCTGCCACATGCCATGAAAAGCATCGTTTGATTCATTTGATCTAATTGGAATTAAATTGATGGAATAACGAGATCCTGCGGCTTCGGTAATTACTGTCAAACGACAGCTCAGTGAAAACGTTCGCTTCGTCAGAGAAATCTGTTGTTAACACTTTGTTCACTGGATGATCACGGACGCAGCGAAGCCCCCGCACCCTGCCTCAAGGGGGGGCAGTTCTCCACCTGCTGAGCTGTTCCACAGTTCATCAGAGCAAATCTTCGACTTTATTGTTCCATTGGTGTGATCCAGTCTCCAGTCACGGTGTCGTTGTTATGTAATACTAGAAGATTATTATGATTATTAATAACAATAATATGAATTATTGTTATTGTTATGTTTTACAGACGACTGCTGTCCAACCGTTTTAAGGTTGTCAGTTTGAACATATATGAATACTCTGTGGACTGACTTGTACTCTGATGTTTCTGTCTACAGTATGTGTTAAATACTTCAATACTGTGATTGAAATACAGATGAGTTTTTTTCTTTGAAGTGGAGAAACGAACATCATTAACACGAAGCAGAAACTGAGTCTCGTTGTGTTCTGTTTGGTTTCCTCTCTCCAGTGTCAGTCACTGACTGTCAGTACTGCAGTACTGACAATCCTTTCTCTACTACACCCCCCCCCCCCCCCCCCCCCCCCCCGAGCGGCTCATCCACACCATGTGAAGTGGTTCCTCAGATTATGATCAGACGGTGATCCTTCAATCATCTGATGTAAACACAGGCGACAGATTTGAAATTGAACAGTAAAACCTTCTCTCTGTGAAGTAATTCATGAGAAGATGAAGTCGCTCTTTACCTTAAGGTAAAAACAACAGTTTTTTTAAGGTAAACAAAGATAAAAAAAAAAGTTAAATTAAAAACTTTGATCCGTCTGCTGAGGAACTGAACCCTTTTCCTTCGTATTAAACTCTGACGGCGGCGTAGCTTCAATATTACACACTGATGAATTACTAACCACCAGGCTGCACAACTACACACTCGGCCCCACAGGGCATTTGTTACAATTTAGCAACCAGCCCTCCAGCGCGGTTGCCAGATCTGCTTGAATGTTTAATCACTAACTGAGCGGCCGGTGGAACAGAACAAGAGCAGGTTAACGCATGTAGCAACCGAGAGACGTTCTACCCAGAGAGGCCAAACGGAGCGGAACCGAATCAGGGCTGCCACGTGAACCACGCCTTGGACATCAACAGATTCTTACAGCCAGATTCTTGAACAGCCTCACTGAGGACCTGGAACGACAACATAAACATCTCCATCCTTGAATCAAGGACTGGTAAAATCAAGTCGTGTTCCAAACACGGATCCCTGGGTTTGAAGGTGACAAATCAAACAACAGTGGTGTTAGGGACCGTCAACAAACTACGAACTAAAGGTGTGACGGTTCACCACTAATACAACTGATGACTCTGCTTTCTATTTGATTTGATTGATCAATGACCCCTGCTGGTGGACTGGTGATCATTACACAGTTTATAATAACAACAACAACAATAATAATAATAATAATAATAATAATAATATAAAACCTTGGTTTCTCCACAGGACCATGACCAGCCCTGCTTGAAATTTAAGAAACTTTTTTTATAATATTTGAATTAATAACAAAGCAATAATCTCGTCCATATAAACGTTACTGCAACATGTATTTTATACAAACTAAAGATTATTAATAAAAAATGGACATAAATATAGTACTTTCTGGTTATGGTTGCAGGTCCTTAAAAAAGTCCTTAAAAACAGACTTTTTCATGACCCGGTCTGTTTGTGATTTCCAGCGCCATCTGTCACGATTTATAGTTTAATTTCTCTGAACTGAATTTTCCCTGTCATTTGGTGTGAGTTCCTTATAAATAACACATGGCACTGATTGTGGATTTGGGTCACAGTCAGAGACGGCAGTCGAGAGTCGACGATGTCGGTGGAAGA